TTGAGCAAAGCTGAATTTCGGTGAGAAAAAAAACGATCATTTTGAGTCTGCGCATCTTCTAAAATAAGTTTATCTGGCAATTATTTTGAGTATGGTCGCTGAGAGATATACGAAAAACTGTAAAATCCACGTCGCTTGCATTTTCACGCAAGCTGAGAGTTTCTAATGAGGCTGCTGGGTTCGAGCTGCGCGATCAAGACGACAAAAATTATGTATTCAGATTTTGTGGGCTACTATTATCTGAGATAGAAAGTTATGATAAAAAGGAATGAAATAAAAGGAAAGATAAAAAAAAAAGAAGGTGAGAGATGAAAATTAGAAAATTTGTAAGATTATTTTTAATGATAAGAAGTGTTTCGGTCCATTAAGTCGTATACATTTCTTTTGGAAATCAGGGAATATTGAGGATCAGGGAATTTAGTGTGCCCATTGTTTTTTTTTTTTCCGAAAGGGCGATAGGATGCTGAAGAAATTATAACGATCTTACCGGGCATCATCCGACAAGTTTAGCCCGTGTTTTCCTTCACTGGTTCCCCATACACTTCGTACATTTAGCTCTTTTGCACCATTACAAGAAATACTGTGGGCCAGCAAAATGAGATTTCTGAAGGGAAAAAAATGAGGCTATTTCAGATTGGGAAAAGATAAAGGCATTCGATTGATAATCGATGACAGCGGAGAGAGGTTAGAGGGATAAGTCCCTCAGAAGCAAAGAAAGAGGGCAAAAGGTCATCGAGAATAACACATGCGAGGAAGCGAGCAACACGAACATCTAACTTGTTTACTTCAGCAACTACTACTAAAACTTGACTCGGCCAGGTCGAGGGGTGAGGTTGCAATGACTACAGTTGTGGTATAGAAGGCTGGAGACCAAAGATGGAAGGAGGGAAGGTTGAGGGTGGCTTAGGCTTCGTGGTCTTAACGAAGAGAAGGGGAAGGAGTTATTGACTGCAGAGGGTCGGAATCTGTGTTTGGACGTAGGAAATGGGAGCAGGTGCGGGGTTTTTGAGCGGGAATGCCCCTACGGGTTTTTCACACTCAGCTCAGGACTTCATGAAAGTTGGTAAGCTTGACCAGGACACCTAGAATCTTCCTTGATCCTTGGTACGGCGTTTCCTTCACTGATGAACCGTTGATTTTCTTCAGTGACTGCTGAACCAACAACCACACCACCGAGTTTTCTTTCCTGAGCTCGCCTCGTCCACAACACTCCATATAAGTAATGCTTCCCATCCAGCTAACCGGCTTCTCGCTCTGTTAGCTCTCATGAGGTCTCTTAGTTTAGCGGATCGAACCAGCACATCGATGGCCTTCCTAGCGGCCTTTTTACATGTCCTAGAATCTTGTCCAGACAAAAAACAGGCAAAAGGATTTTCGTAGCCCAAACCTAAACTCGGGGATGAGTAGATACTGTGTGGCCGAGCCGAGCAAAGTTTTAGTAGATATCCAAAATATGAACAATTCCAGTGTTTAACTCTTGTTTTCTGATAAATGCGCGTTGATATACATGATCTCTGCTCTTTCCTAAGATTTACAAAGGTGAACATGATGAACAGAAGGCAAAAAAGCGCCTGAATTTTATCCTGACTTTTCGTGTCATTTGTCATACGCGCTTTATTATCATTTACAGCATTTGTTGTTTTTTTTCACACCAAATGTACAAAGATAAAAATATTTTTCACACACAATTTTGCAAAAATAATATTTTTAGGTATGCGTGGCAGCGGAGGCTTTCCACGAGGGGCGCGTGGTGGTTTTGGAATGCGTGGTCCACGACCAGGATTCGTGGGTGATGGCAGAGGCATGAGAGGTCCACCATTTCAGCCACGACCACCCTTTTATCCTCCACCATTTCCCGGAATGCCTCCAATGGGAGTACCACCAATAGGCCAGCAAATGCCTCCACAACAGACTCCTGCACAGCAAGCTGAGAGACTGAAGAAGGTTCGTTGTGAATTTTTTTTATTTTATATTAACTGCCAATTCCAGTAAGCCTTAAATATTCGGTTTTTTCATCTGAATACAGCGCAGAACCCTCTGAAGGCTTTGTCTGGAACAACGATTCGGGCAAAAGGGGAATGGACGATGGGCGGCAATGGACGGCGGACACCTTATCCAGCTGCGGCAATAGGCAGTGGACGTCGCAGATGGGGTAATGGCGGGGGGATATGTGGGTCCCGGACGCGGGGATTGAAGGCAAGGGAAAAGGGTCGGTTAGCTGGATTAAAGAAAAGGGGCGAGGAGGTGACGGGTGGAAAATGGGAGGAATCTACTGCTAGCTTTTGCAACGGAATACGGAAAGGGATGGCTAAAAAAAGGGCTACATGGCGTAGAACCTTCGGCAGTTGCTTAGACTACATAAGGAAGAGGGGAGGAGTAATAGGTAAGAAGGAGAGATGTAAGAAAAAAGTAAAAGCAAGAAAAGCAAACGAAAGTCCGCCATCGATAGGGGACTTCTCTATTTATAAAGCTGAAAGCGAATAACGTGAAGCTGCGAAACTAAAACAAGGAACTCCTAACTTTGCCTGAGCATCAGCTTCATAAACAGGGGAGCCCACTACTTGTTTTTCCTTTGATAAGTTAGGTTTTCATTGTATTGCTGTGTTGTCCTTTCCTCTTTACCACTGTCTGCAGTTCTTGCCTCGAACTCCTGACTAGTACCCTTGTTCCACTTCTCTGTCCTCTCCCCAAACCCTACCTGCAGAGCGGCATCTGGGCACCCATCACCCCCACCACCACCCGCTATCACAGTCACCATTAATCATCCTGTGCTCCTCATTAGCCTCCTTGTTCCTCTTGTCTTTCGCCCTAATCCGTGCTCCCGGAGCTGCATCTGAGTAATCACCCATCATCCCTCTCCCCCTCCGCCGGCAACAGCGCCAACTCCCCCACCTAGTACCCCTCAGTCACACTTTCAGCCATGATGCGCTGGGTAGCGCTGCCCAGCGCCCTTGGCAAAGTGCCAAGCGGCATCAGCAGGCGGTTTACGAAATAGCGTCAAGCAGAGAAGCTAGAGCGATGGCCGGGGGTTCGCAGGTCGTGTATGACGCTGGCCGAGCCGAGCTGGGCCGAGTTTTAGTTATTGCTCACGCGAAATTGGTTTTGCTTTGTCGGTGAAAAAGTTCGCACTGCTTTTGAGGCGAAGGAGAATTCTTAGATGACGAACATAAACAGACTGATTATTTGAAAAAAACTCTGATGAAATTTATGGTTTTTCAGCTTGCCGGCGTTCCGCCAGACCAGGAACTGTGGGTGGAAACGAAGTCGCCCGATGGGAAACCATATTATTACAATGCTGTAACACGTGATACAGTTTGGGAAAAGCCGGAAAATGCTAAAGTAATGGAACAAACAGAGCTGCAAGCTTTGGTTGAGAAGGATGCAAAAGAAGAGAAAGAGCAAGGTACTGTTTTTGGCTTCTTTT